CCTAAAGCGGAAAAGATGTTCAATTAGAAGATCAAGTCAGTTTTACAGGTTTACAAATTCTTACCTCGTTTCGGTTAGCAGGAACCGGTGGTGCTGAGTTTTCAGAGAACCTGGCGTTCATTGCCAGCCCGTGCAGCGAGTCCGTCCACGTGCTGGGGTCCTGTGGTTTGGGGGTGGAAGGCAAGGTTTTGATCATGTTTTTATTTTATCAGTCTACTAAGGCGCGAGTATTTTTTTGTTACAAAACAACTACAACTGCTGCTGCTGGCGGCCAAAGATTGAGAGAGTTAGTAAGTAGAAGGTATCAAAAGTGGAAATGTCGAGAAAAAGAAGAGGTACAGCATATCAGTTTAGATCTACAAAAGAAGAAGCGGCAGCAGCAGCAGCAGCAGCAGCCATCTTTGGTTCAAAAGCGCTGCAAGCAGATGGTAAGCAGTGGTGAAATATACGAAAAACAAAATGAAAATGCATAGAATGAAAGATGCAAAGAATGAGCAAAGATGAGAAAATAAAAAAAAGACGATGATCTCTATCAGACTGCTGATCTCTACAACTCATACCTCAAAACAGCTTTCATTCTCGTCGAGATCGTGGTGTGGTGTCGTCGTCGTTGCGTTTGTTGTCGATGTCGTTGTGGAACTCGTCGTCGCCGTCGCTGGAACTTGAGGTGGTGGTGGTGGTGGTAGTGGCGGTGCCCTGCCCACCGGCGTCTGGCAGCCATTGCCCATCAGCGAATCACTAGTGGTGGTGCTGGTTGAAGTTCCAGCAACAGCGGCAGCGGCATTATTATTCTCACTGGCCGCTGCTGCTGCTGCCGCCGACAAAGCGGCAGCATTTGCCGATGCCGCCGCCGCTGCTGCAGCCCTCGCCGCCCTCGCCGAGGCAATGACGCCCCGCGGGTCAAAGGGATCGACGACCACCTGTTCGGTGCCCTTGATCTCCGCCCGGCAGAAGGGACAGCCGGTGCCTTCGAAGTCCTAGAAAAGATGGGGAAAAGGGGTTAAAGATATAGAATTTCCCTAAAAACAACCAAGGACATTACCTGCCATGAGTTGAGACAGGGCGTACAGAGGAGGTGCCCACACGGTTCAATGCGAATGTCCTTGTCGTTCTCCGCGCAGATCTTGCACAGCTGAAAGGTGGAGCCCATCTCGCAGTAGAGCTCGTACTGCTCCTGCGTCACCCGAATGTGGTCCTCAGGCGTGGACATCACCGCCTGCGTCAGGTCGGGATTGACGTTCCGCCCGTCCGGGTACCGGTAACTAGAGGGGTAAAGGATTGGAGGAGGTAAAGGAGGTTAGAAATAGAGCACAAAAAGCCTAAATTTTGTTCGACTCACAATCCCTCGCGGTAGCCGTCGAGCAGCGCCTGGCAGAGTGACTTGTTCTGCGGTATCGTCTGCAGAATGTTCCCATCCGGCGTCACGTAGCCGATCGCCCACTGGCCCAGGCGGGTGCAGGACAGGCGAAAGACGTAGCTGAGAAAAATTAAGAAAAGTGTTAAAATAAAAGGATAATAAGTGATTCTATGTCATTTCATCGCGGGCTAATAAGTTAAGAAAACAGTCCATACCTTCCCGGCTTGTTGATGTACTTCTGCAGGCGGGCCTTCACCTCGTCGTACGTCAGAAAGGCGACGTAGCCCGAGTGCGTCACCGCCAGCACCTGCCAGTTTCGAAGGAGTGTAGACCAGGGCTGAAAGAGCCTACAAGGAAAAGAGGATTTAGAAGGAGGAAAACTTTTACAACAGGAAAAAGCAGTCCNTCCATACCTTCCCGGCTTGTTGATGTACTTCTGCAGGCGGGCCTTCACCTCGTCGTACGTCAGAAAGGCGACGTAGCCCGAGTGCGTCACCGCCAGCACCTGCCAGTTTCGAAGGAGTGTAGACCAGGGCTGAAAGAGCCTACAAGGAAAAGAGGATTTAGAAGGAGGAAAACTTTTGCATAAGAAAAAAGCCCTCTCACCTCGTAAAGACGTCAAACTCAAAGTTGGAAATGTAGTCGTTGCAGGTGAGGTCGATGGTACTCTTCAGCGCCATCGCCTCCAGCCCCGAGCCGATGGGATGGATCTGGCTGAGCGCCAGGCGGAAGGACTTCCAGGAGACTATGGTTCTGAAAAAAAGGTTTTGATTAGGTAAAATCGACAGAATTTAAAAACAAANAGGTCGATGGTACTCTTCAGCGCCATCGCCTCCAGCCCCGAGCCGATGGGGTGGATCTGGCTGAGCGCCAGGCGGAAGGACTTCCAGGAGACTATTGTTCTGGGGTGGAGGGAGAAAGAGAGGTTTTGATTAGGTAAATCGACAAAATTTAAAAACAAATGGCACTTACTTATCACCAAAGGAGGTGCGCCAGAAGTCGGCCGCGTCGGACTTGGTGATGCGAAAGTTCTCGGCGGCGTAGGCGCCGCCCGGGAAGATCGCCCTAAGCTCGGACAGCATGTGACTAAAGACGAGACTGAGCTTGGTCAGGTTGCGCCGGTAGTGGCTGCCCTCGTCGTACATCTTCTCCTTGCCCTCCTTGAACAGCTTAATGGCCTGCTTGCACTTCCGGTTGAGGTTCTCCAGGAAGAGGCGGAAGTACTCGTTCTCCTCCAGCGCCGCCAGCCGCTCCTCGTGCTTGCCGTAGATGGAGCGCAGGTGCTGGTAGGTGTCCGGGAGGATGTCCAGAATGAAGGGCGGGGAGTTCTTCAGGTTCATCCGACCGTGCTG